AAGTGCACACACCAAGATGTGTTCACATATTACAGCATTTCCCTTCTTGCTTTTATGGATACTCCAGCGGTACTACCCCTTAAACAGTCGTCAAAGACCTGGTGGGTTCGCAATGTCAGCAAATGTGCCTCATTGCCTGCCATGCGCTTGTTGCTAGCAAGGTTCCAATTGTGCTGATCTGTATCGACATATTTCAACCCTTAAGCACGCTTGGACACTTAAAAGGGGCAGTGACACATTTGGTGGCAGCGGGGGCAGCGGTGGTGGCAGCGGCGGCGGCGGCGGCGGCAAGAGCGGCAGCGGGGGCGGGGGCGGGGGCGGGGGCGGGGGCGGGGGCGGCGGTGCTCGCGTCCAGCCTCTCAAATTCCAAACAACGTAGAGCTCAGCGGGATCAGCACGCGACAGCACCATGCCCACTCCCACGATAGGCGCCGCGCACGGTCCAGGACGCATGCTCCTGTTGTTGAGGACGGGGGGGCCGCCGCCGCCACTCACAACCACAAGTCACATCTAGTTTCCTCAGCTCGCGGTAACCCCGGTGCCATCACCCATGCCGCGCACATTCTCAGAGCACATCGCCGCCGCCGCCGCCGCCGCCGCCGCCGCCGCCGCCGCCGCCGCCGCCACCAGCGCTGTGGGATCGCCGCCTTTCGAGGCGAAAACATTGCCTACACGGGGGAGGGGCGGAGAGCAGCTGGTGGCGGAGCGGCGTCAGGGCTCGAAATCTTTGAATCCACGCCAGGAGGGCACCCAGCTACAATCTCCATGAAAACTGACGTCAGCCCCCCCCCCCCCCCCCCCCCCCCCAAATCGCGCACCGCACCGATGTACGGCCGCCACCTCCAGTCCGAAAAACGCCCAAGCCGTGGGCCCCTGCGAGCCCACGTGCTGTGCCAGCCCAAGAACGAAGGCAGCACGGGCTGCCTGGAGCAGCCGAGGATCCTTCCCACCTCTAGCACACCTCTTCACTGACTTACAAAGGGAGCCCTAGCGTCTCCATTGGCATCGGCAGCCGCCCATTCAAATGCGTTGCGCACAGGCCCACACTGCGCGCCAATGGCTGTGGCTTGCCATGGGGCAACCCCACGGTCCATGCCCGCCTGCACTGAAGATCGCCTAGCGGGGGCGATCCTCGCCGGCTCCCCATCTGGCCCAGCCCACCCACTCCCCGTTTGGGCAAGCCCATCAACTTGTGAATTGCAAAAACGCCGAGTGTGCCGCTGCACTCTGCGCTGCCCTCAGCCATTCCCAGCCCACCCGCACGCCCAGCATCCCCACGCACCTTCTGCCCCGCCCTGCACGCATGTCGTGTGTGTTGGGGGGGATGTCCCGGAGGCCCGTTCTCCTGGAAACGGGGCAACAAAATGGCAAAAGCCACCGCACAACAGCCGAGGCCGAAAATCGAACAGCTACAACTTAATTCGTATCTCACCCAGCAGTCCTCGCCACTGTGTCCGTGAAGCGAACACTCGAGCCCTTGGGCCAGCACCAAGAGCGGGGGGTCTTCCAGCAGAGCAGAAAGAGTGGGGCTTTCCGTCAACGTTGTTGCGCCTTTCAGAAACACGCATCGTGTCAACGTTGCTGGCAACCCAGGGTTCCAGAAACATTGATAACAACTGATCGTCTGCATGTTGACGCAACTTGGATGTGGGAGGTCTCACAGCAACGCTGTTGGCAACCTCACCGTTGTTGTAACATTGCCAGGGAGGTGTTCCAGCAGCGTTGACGAACGAGAGCGTTGCTGGCATGCTGATGCGTAGGCCCTGCATCAATGCTGAATATGATTGACGCAAGGTTACATTACCATCAAGGCCCGTCAACGTTGCTGTAACTCCATCCCAATTTCCGGATGCAATTCATTGGGGCACTTCAGATTTCAAAGGATTATTTTAAGCACCACAGCCGGCGCTTTGATCAAGTTTTGCTTTTCCGAATGACTGAAAGAGTGGCCCAGAAACACTTCAAATTAATACCCTGTTACATGATATTAGCCTCAATACACATTTGTGTCACTGGTTTAGCATTATCGCCCATACCAGCAGAGAATACAACAACCAAGCCCCGGTGGGACTTCCCAACAGCGACACACTCCCAACACTTCATTCCCACACAACCACCTCCACCGACCCAACAGTACCCAACCCACATACTGCAAAATATTATACCCTTCCGCATAGTAATGTGTAGCTTGGTCTTTTTTGTGGAGTAAATAATGTAAATGGTGACGCAAATCTCGGCCTTTCTGTGCGGATCAACGTAAAAAAAATAGAAAGAACACTCTGAAAAACAAAATGCGGAGCAGAAAAGCATAACGGTGGCATCTTCTGATGGGGAAGTTCCAATATCTCAAAAGTACTCCATCGACCATGCTCCCCCGCGCTTGTGCGCGCTCCCAAGCAATGGCTGCTTCGAGCGCTGGGCCGCCCGCCCGATCCCCGCCTGCTCACCGCAGCGTCCGATTCAAAAATCGCAGCGGCGAGAGTCTCGCCGGCATCCTGGTCGATCCCGGGTCGCCAATCGCCGTTGTCCTCGCCCACGGCTTCACGTTATCAAAGGATTGGATCCACTATCCCGTGCTGGCGGAGAGGCTGGCCGATCGGTCGGTGGGCAGCTTTAGGTTTGATTTTTCGGGCCACGGCGAGAGCGAGGGGAGATTTGAATATGGGAATTTTTGGAAGGCGGTGGGGGATGTGAGGGCTGCGGTGGAGTGGCTGCGGGAGGAGGTGGAGAAGAGGGTTGTCGGTCTGATCGGTGGGTTCGGATTGGCCGTATTTTCGTGTGAATTGTGTCTTTTGTTGTGTTTTCTTTTTTGGTGTTCCATCCCCTCTGCATATGGATTTAATGGTTTGATCGTCTACATATCTTCAACGTTTTGATCTTTTTGTGGCTGCTTTTGTGTGTCGATCATGGTTTTGTATCTCGTTGCCCGATCGTCTTTTGGAAGCAGGGTGCCCCAGAGGGCCACGGAAAAGGGGTATGCAAAAACATGTTCATCGTTGGATACAAGGCAGCCAATGTCCTGATGACATATTCCTTACATACCAGTGCAGAGACCAGCACGCAGGAAAACCAGCAGACTGAAGATGTCCAATCTTCTGTGTTTGGAAAAGACAGGCATCATAACCAGCGTGTCGTTCCCCACACTGCTCGTATAGAAAAGATGCAATTCATTCAATAAACTCCAGCACGGAAGGCAACAGCTGATACCATAGGCGGCCCCCTTCTCAGAATTTTCTCTGCAAGACTCCAGTGAGATTCCATGCACAAAAGGGGATGCACTGAGAACTGCACACATCACTCCATGTGAGATAGTCTGAATGGGTGGGACATGGACATTCTGAATTCTGCTTGCTGCAGTCGTTGGAAATGCAAGAAAACGCACTGCCATTGCACATGGAGATGCGATGATAGGCGGGGACATGGACTGTGGTCTATGGATTTGCTTTCCAGCACAGTTGGGCCTCATGAGCCTGCAATCCTAATGAATGAGCTAATGATTCAATGGCCCAAATGTGGAAAACGATACACTGATCAAAACATGCGTCTCGCATGCTGCCAGATTAGTGGACATCAGTTTTTATGGCAGTCTGCAAGGACCTGACAGTTTGGCCAAAAAAGGGCACCATGTACATCCCATGACACAACAGCACCTCAAGGATGCACATGCATTCATGTTGATCACACCTGTGACAAACCAATGCTTTTCACACCAGTCACCAAATTTCCAAACAGCTTGGACTTCACAGTTTGGAGTGTGTATCACTCATGGGGTCTGGAGCCCACTTTGCCAATCTCTTTTCTCGCTGTGACTCATGGGGTGGTTGCTACAATGTGTGGAGCTAGTGTTGATGGACCTAACTGGATCCAAGCGCAAGTTAGTTGACCAAAATGTTGACTGCATGACACCTGTGTGAAATCTCAGATCAGCACCACTGTTGCTGGGGACAGTGCTTCCATCCTCGTTGGCTCGTGATTACCGAGTGTAAAATGTGTGGCACTTTGTGCATTTGCAAAAGTTTCGTTTTGACTGTGGACAACCTGGACACATGCTGCAAATTTACCACATATTTGCAGCACAACATCTGGGAGCAGCTGTTCTTTGTGGGGAAGGCTGAACGATTTCCGTATTTCTAGCATCTCAATGGAGTCCAGCAGTGAGCAACAGCTATCTGGGCTGCACACGCTTAACCGATTTTATGTGTACTCCAGAACTATCCAATAACAATAATTTGCTACTTGGTGCATTGCTGCATTGATGCATGCTACATTGATGCATGCTACATTGATGCATGCTACATTGATGCATGCATGTGTCCACATTCATGTTCATATTCATATAGGCTTCTATTTTCTTCATTTGTTTGTGTTCACATAGTTTCTGTGCCAAATGCAGGTCACAGCAAGGGTGGAATTGTCGCAGTGCTGTACGCCTCAGAGTTCGATGACATTCCATCGGTGGTCAACATTTCCGGCAGTTTTGACTTGAAGAGCAGTGTCGCTGAGCGCTTTGGGCCAGATATCTTTGAGCGGTTGGAGGAATGCAATGAACTGGAGATCATGCACAAGAATGAAGATGGGAAAGTTCAATTCAAATGCATCCTGACAAAACAGGTGAGGTGCGGGTGCATCTGCCGCTGCTTCTGTGCAGTCCTTTGCTATCATTGACAGCATGGTGGCAGTAACCCATTGCCTTTTCTGGGCCCAGCTGTTGACCACAAAATGCAAGAATTACAGACCTGAAATGTGGTACTTTGTTCTCATTGACAGAGTGGTGCCACTTTACCCATTTCTCTTTTCCGGACCCAGCTGCTGACCACAAAGTGCAAGAGTCTATGTATTATGTATATATTATGTATGTATAAGAATTTGTGTATATAAGAGTTCATGCAAGAGAAATGTAGCCACTAGTCAAGAAGAGAAAGAGCCGACCTGAGCTCTCGCTAGCGTGCTTGATAGCCAGTGACAACAGCCACACAACTTGACGTATGATTGCAAACGCCGACATGGCTTGCGTCAAGGAAGTGATGGAACACGGCCCTTTGACCTGCTGAGCGACGTCGGGCATGAATTCCCCTAACCACTGCTGGTCACATAGCATTCCCCATGTTACAGAGTTTCGTAGCGTGGCCAAGTCCCAGGAATCTGTGCGCACAACGTGCCCACCCACTATTTAAATACATGATAGTTGGGGAGTCGCTGTCGCAGTTGCCGCCCTTGCAATAGCGACGGACGTCTGACGCCATCAGACTGACGGACGCGCTGGTGCCCTTCAATGTACTGTCGCAATATCCATCATGAGAGGTGAATAATTGCGCAGTGAAGTCTTCGAATATCGATTCCATATGGCAGGTAACTAGATGTTCTGGAATATGTGCGTAGGTGCGTGAGAGTGATCCCACATGCTGAAACTGGACAAGTCGTGATATCGTATCATATATATCAAGCATATCGTGATATCTTAGTCATGCTTTCGCTTGTTGGCAGTGGCACCAACAGTACTCGGAAGGAATGCGTGATAAGCTCGCTGCTCATGTATGGTATGCGTGTAAATACGATAAGTGTACACGATGCGATTCAGTTCAAACATTGCTGGCACTGCTGGCGCATAATTTCTGCAATTTACGGCATTTCTGTATGTAAGGTTCCATTTCTGTAATGGAAGTTAACGATGAAAATTCGGTTCAAGTTTTGTATTCTTGCCTTTGAAATTTTGGGTTTTGGTTTAGCATTGTCCACCCCAGCAGCCTACAAAATTTTCGCTAATTACCTCTTGTAAAACGGGTCACAAACTGGCTCAAATGGGCTGTTTTCTCCCAGACAAAGGACCCTATAGGACAAACTGAGACATAGTGCTTGATAGCACTATCAAGTGCACAATGTCTATTCCAATTGTCTTGCACTTGCACAATGTCTATTCCAATTGTCTTGCACTTGCACAATGTCTATTCCAATTAGCGAGTTATTTAAGAATTAGTAACTTCAGTACTCGACAGCACACAACGAGTATTCAAGTAGTATAAATTTTCTATTTTCAGTGACTGCGGTTCAACATCTTGTGCTCAACTTGCCGGCGAGGGTGTCCTAATGCTTTGGCGCTGTTTTTCGCCAGTGCGTCACTGTGACACACACAGTTGTGGGAAGGAGTGGTGGAAAAAAACTCAGGCATGATTGTACTTTAGCATTTCACCATTTCCTGAAATACATAATGTACGCAATATACATAATCCATAACACAATACTCGCAATAATACGTACAATAATATGCACAATAATGTACAGAGTGTGGCGTCTGCAGAGCATGGATGAGCGCATGAGCATGGACATGGACGCCGCCGCGCGGCGTATCCAGCGCACCAACGTGCTCACGATCCATGGCTCGGCCGACGCCATAATCCCCGTGGCTGAGGCGCACAAGTTTTCGGCCATTCGGTCCCACGACGTGGTCATCATCGACGGGGCAGACCACAACTTCAGCAACCTGGAGCACGGGGCGGCTTTGGTGGACAAACTTGTGGAGTTCTTGATGCGGGGTGCGTGAGATTTGCGCGCTCGGCTGCCTGATCAGGCAAAACTCATTGGTTTGGGGCATTGTCTCTTATCTTCTTAGGTTTCTTTAGCCTCTTTTTGCTTTTAGGGTTGTTTTTGTTCCTTCGTTTCTTTGGTGCTTTTGCGGCAGGCGGTGGCGCCCGCCATGGGCGTTTTGGAATCTAAACAATTTGGATTGTTGATGGTATCGAGGATCTGCGATTCACGATATCTGCGACGTACGAGATCCGCCATGTCTTAGGGATCCCATGCCCATCTGCAGCCACGGCGGGGGTCATTCTTTGCTCTTCCCAGCTATTGTGTGGTGCAGTTAGATATTATTCAATAGTACCTATATGATCCTGTTTAGGAATAGGTTTGGAGCTCGTGGACCTGTTCAGATCAGCTAGTGATGGGCGGCGGGATAGCTTCCCAGTTTGTGCACTCCATATAATCTACTTGACAAAACCAACGACTCGCCCAATTTCGGGCAGCTTGGGGGCGTGACTCATACTCCATTTTCAGTAAATCGAGAAAGGAATGGAGATGTTCGAAATTGGACGTTCTAAGTTAGACATCATGTGGAAGGGTAAGATTGGTAGCGCTCCAAGACAGAACGGGTCGTACAAGGCTGGGAAATCTACGCTTTTTTGAAATGGAACAAAGGGGCGCAGGACGCCACGTGTGCGATTCCACCCATTGCGCGGGCGTAGGTTGGGGGTTTACGGGAACGTGCGGGACGCTGTATGGGCTTCCCGCGCCCCAAAATTCTGCTTTGTGCTCAAGTTCCGCACCATTGCAGCGAGCCACTCAGCCACCTGTGTCCTAACAGACACTGCAGTTCCAGCTCATTACAGCTCCACTGTCACCCTGGAACCCCCCCTCCGCCCATTGCCTCGCGTAGAAATTAATCAGCGGTCACAACGCCGCATCCACCACCCACGACCGCCATCGACAAGACATAACGTGATCATGGACTCCAAGCAGCAACCACAGGTTCTGATTCATCAAGCGTTCGCACATAGGACTACAGCGGCAGGTACAATCGACGGATTCACCCATCGCACCACACCATCGCCCCTTTCATAGTCTCACAAGGATTGCTCAGTTTGCATATGATTCATCAACACCTGCGCACATACCACCATTTCCGTCATTCGCCATTCAAAACAGTGTGGCACAACATAGTACAATGCAGTACAGAGCATTGTCCCACCATTTCCCAACACAATGCTCCTTTTGGGACCAGAACACGGCTACCACCTCGTCGCCACTCCATTTGCCTCCACACTAAAGACACCCCACTAATATCCCACCCTTTGTGAAAACTTCAGTACTTTTTGAGCACTTGCTTTACACAGGTTTTCCTCAAAGAATGTTCCAAGTGCCTCACCAAGCTGCTTTCCTTTTGGGGGGAAGGAGCCGAGGGAGGATGTGGAGTGGTTTGTTATTTTCCTCTGCATAATATATGACTTCAAGCCTGCTTCTCTCACTGAGAGAATAGGCTTGGCAGCGGGCACAGCTCCAGCGCCACTGTGGCCTGCCAGTCCGCCGACCACCGCACGCAAAAGCTCGCCATCAGCCTCAGCGTCACGTCTGCAACCGCAAAAAGTGGTAACGGGCAGCACGCACTTGACGAGCGGCTTCACCCAATGGCCCCTTCAAGCAGCTTCTGGCCCCTTGCTGTGGATGCAGGCGTCCACGGGCGGCTTGAGCGCGGCCTCCACAGCTGAGGCTATGAGGACGGTGGTGTGGATCTGGCTGTGGGAGGTGTGCACATTGGCGAAGGTGCCAATGGAAGCTGCCACGATGATGCTTGCAGGGGTTGGCACTGGGGATTGGCCTACACTCTTGGCTGCATTGAGTGTGGATGGTATAGTGCATCATTCAGAGATTAACTAGGAAATAATTTATTTCCTCGCCCTCACAATGATGATGATAGTGATGATGATGATACAATGGGCCAACCCTGCAGGGCCACTTGTCTTTCGCATGTCGGCCATGTGTGCCCCACGCATGCTTAAGACGATGGAAGAGTGGTCAGCTCCAGTGGGCTGCAAGAACACAATAGCTGACATGATATGCAAACGAACAGAACGCCCACCAAGTTGGGCGGGATAGGCTGTCTGGACAGACCTTCCCCTTTGAGATCTCGTAAGCCATGGCTTCGATAGGGTCTAGAGGACAAGGCATGGATCCTCTGAGGGGACTGGTGATTCGACTCTTGTGAAGGGCAGGTCACAACTAGAGGTGTGCACCAGGTCTGGTCACTCGGAGTGGTACGGGTGACTGGACCAGTCTGGTCACTCGTACCAACCCAGACCCGCACCCGCCACCGCAGCAAACTGGACCACCTTGGCACAGGTCCACTGGACTGCTGGTATGGGTCACCAGACCAGTGGTCCAGATCCATACCTGTGCTCCAGTTTGGTCTGCTTTGGGTCCAGTCACAGTGCGGTGAAGAACTTACGTACAGGTATCCGTACCACTTGGTCTATTCACCCGTACTTGGGTCAAGTATGGCAACCAGACCTACCGGACCAGTCCGATCCGGTCCGAGACTATAGCTAAACCGGAACTGCACCAAGAAAACTACCTGTACCACACATGTTTAGTCAGAACCCGTTGTGTTCTTTCGGCTGCTATGGCTGTGGGATATGGCTTGTGGCTGCATCTGTGGTTGCTGTTGTGAATATGTCCATATCTGCTACCTAGTCTTTGCTCGGCTGGGCGCTGGTGCGGCTGCTAACTTTGTCATCTCTATGCATTGGAGGTCTCCACAGCCGCCAACTCCCAAAATTTTGACATTTCGTCGAATGTCGACTTTCCCTATTCCAAGTGAACAAAAGCCAGCAGGCAAGGTGCAAATTCTGAGGCAGCTTGATGTCGAGTGGAATTGCAGCCGCACCAGTAGCGCGCAGTCCATGGAACACCAATGCACATTTTGCAATGTATGCAGTGCATACTATGCACATGGGAGACACAAGGCTATAATATTTCTAATAAGAATACGATGATGATGATGATGATTGTGAGGGTGAGGGAACGGTTAAAATTTAATGTGTGGGAAGTGAATGTGTGAACATGGTGTTATGGTGCATATATATAGGGACAATGCAATTAGGTGGTGAACATTATTGCGATGATTGATATTTAGACTAATACGCTCATCCTGTAATGTGTCTAGTCGCAGCCTTGCTTCCCGTGCCTGGGAGTGACCGTGTGTGCGAGTGCGAGAGTGTTCGGACAACCCAATATGTTTTCGGAGCATAACCCACGAGTCCCATGACAGTCCAGACGGCCGAGGCGCTCTTGGCTGCGGCCACCAAGGAATCCTCCTATCGTCTTGTGGTTTTGGCTCAGCAGTTCGGGGCCCCGCAAGATCTCCAGCTCTCTAAGCTCTTGGTGCTCTGATCGGGCACCAACGTCGACATCTCTCCGCGAAACTTGGTGCCTCGCCTTCCCACGGAATTCAGCCAATGGTTCGATGTCCTCAACACTGCTGACAGGCAGCACCTCGGAGGTGCTTTTGTTGGCTGCCAAATTGGCTTTTGTTGCCTGCCAACGTTGTGCTGCCCAAGTGGTCATTGCTTCAAGAATAAGATCGGGAGGGTTCTCACTTGCAACTTCTCTTTGTTTCCTACGCCATCTTGATGTTGTTCTTGTCGTTGCTTTTGTTGCTTGTCGGGGTAAGGTAGGCGCTTCCAGCCAATCATCTTCACCAGCTTCAGCTGCATTTGCCTTACTCTCCTTCGCCTCTTCAGTCTCATCTTCTGTAGACTTCAAGTGGTGGGTGATCTGGTTTTTAGAAAGAAAGTAAGCAAATTGTGAGCTTATAAATACAATGTAAAATATACAATGGGGAGATGTATTCCAATATAACAATGTGATTGTATCCACTCACCATGTTTATAACCTCCACTATCAATTCTTGTTTTAAAGCTACCAAGTTTGTCCACTTCCTTGTGACGTTTGGCTTGTCGTGGCCATTTGACAATACTGGCTATAACCACTCCAGATGTGAGTTGTTGCGGCCCCGTCGGCAGCCGCTGGTTTCCGGAGGCGTTGGGGTCGCCCTGCCCTGCAGCTCAGCTGTTGGAGGTCAGCCGGCCCTCTCCACCTTGGATGGTGGGCGTATCCGGGGCAGTCGCTTCTGTGGCTGCGCGGTGGGCCCAATGCTCGATGGGGATTGATCCCCGGGGCCTGTTGTCAGCGAGAGGTGGCGGCACAGCGCGGTGGTGGTTCACTGGCTTGCGGGAGGCTAGAGAGTGAGCCAGAACGGTTACACGAATTCACTGCATGCGCGCACACAAATCCGCATGCGCAATGCCCGATCGCGGGTCCATCGCTGTCACATCAAGACAAGACAAGTCAAGTGCGCGTCCAGGCACATCGTCACCGTCCACCGTTCGCCTACGATCGACCCATTGTCCTCTAATTCCAAGCGTCTAACACCCGACCCCCTGGCCCTAAGTACTACTACTTCAAGAGGCCATATCTTCGTCAATTCTTAACGGAATGGGACGTTTAAAAGCGCGTTGGAACCAAGAAGCTCTAAATAACACTCACAAAAGGTAATTTACACAATTACGTAATTCCCACTCCAGAAATGTCAAATAAGCCTAAACCCCAAGCAGCCACTTCACATGAGTGCCTTCCGTCCAGGAAGGTGCTCAACGCCTACGATTAAAATTGATTTATATCATCAACCAATGACAAGAGTTTCTCTAAAACCTCCTTACAAAAGCATTCCTATATGGTGATGCGTTTTTGGTCTTCACCTCATCATACAATAACCGGATGGTGAAAAGAAGCACATCACTTGAAGTTACATATTGGCTGCCTTCCAAGACCATGCTCATTCTTTTTATTGGTTTCATCACCTCCAACAACTCCTCGTAGCACTGCCAATCCAGCTTGTAAATGTACCCTGTTTAAAATTGTGAGGGACGCCCTGTGGGGGTATGTACATTAGCGCAGAAAGGGGTTTGTCTTGTATATTAACACGGGAGA